AAGTACCTACCTACTTAGGTACAACGGTTTTTTGACTGTGCTTCTACTTATTCCACTATCTCTTTCTCGTCTTCTTAAAGAATCGGTAGAATTTACAAGAGCAGACAGGCACGACGTGGCCTGTTACGACAAATGGTTCACTTTCTGCGAAGACTCAGGACATGCTACCAGATAGATCGGGTGCCGAATGTCAAACAACCGACACCTCAAAAAGCCGACAGTCAAAAAACCGTTTAACGTGGACATCCATCCTGTTGAAACCACATATTTAGACGTAGTTGAAGTGGAATATCTTCAAGTAAACGTGGGAACTCCCACGTTTACTTGAAGATATTCCACTTCAACTACGTCTAAATATGTGGTTTCAACAGGATGGATGTCCAGCCCACACGTCTGTCATTGCTCGTCAACAACTGAACCGCATATTTCGCGGCCAATGGATAGGTAAATATGGTCCACATAACTGGCCACCACGATCACCGGATCTTACAATTTTAGATTTTTATTTGTGGGGAAGAATAAAAGACCTCGTATACCGCGAACGACCTACGACTTCAGAAGACATGAAGAACAGAATTCGAGAAGCCATTCAGTCTCTAGATCCTGTCGAAATTCGTCGGGCGACGGATGATTTTCAACGAAGAATAACAGCCTGCATACATGCACGTGGAGGACACTTCGAAAATCTAGACTGAACACATGCGTACGAACAAAGGTGACGGTAAGGGGAACCACCTTAAAAAAGCACCCCTACGAGATACAGGTGACGGCAAGGGAAACCTCCTTAAAAAAGCACCCCGACGAGGTGTAAGTCCGACCTTGTGACCTCCACGTGGTACATACATCTTGGATAAAGCTGACACAGGCGGCATCGACTGTTCAAGATCTTGATAATTAGGAATCTTTAAAAATCGATGTACACGACTACAAATGAATCTAAAGGTAGAATTAAAATTCACCAGCAGATGGATGCATCATAGCTATGTAAATACCTAGTATTGTTTGAACTATTTTTTGTACAAACACATCCATATCTTTTAGAAGGGTGGATCGGGTGCTCTAAAAGTAACTTGACCTCCACATGACCTCTAAGGGTAATTTTGACCTAGACTTGATAACGTATTCAGACGTAAAATTTTCCGCTCTTTTCATTTCTGAAGTCATGAATAAGGGTTTACATTTATAAAACGGTACTTTGACCTTGAGTTATGCCCAAGGTCGACCTCAAGGTCAAATTCAAGGTCACCATCAGATAGATCTGCCGAAATCCTGCAAATTTTGTCTGAACCATTTTTTTGTACAAACACATCCCTACCTTTCAAAAGGGTGGTACGGGTGGTCTGAGACACCCTGTATATATATTGTGACGTGACATTTTTGTCCGTCACTGTACAGACTTATTGGCGGCGGACTCGTGCTTCTTACCGGCTCGGAGGGCGAGCGCACCTGCGAACGTTCGTTAAAATTGTGTCATCTATTTTGCTCTGCAAATTTTCTTCTTTTTGTGTTAGCATTTATTTTGCGTAATAATAAAGCTCATCAGAAAGCGTAGACGCGCCACGGATCACGCTCGGCAGCTGCTGTAAAATATTATTGTATCATCGTGCCGTCTCACCCTCCCAGGGAAGGAAGAACCGTACCGAAGGAGGACCAAATTGGAAGGAAGACCGAAGAGCCTGAAAGGGAAGGACGCTCATCCGGGAGCCCGGACCCGCAGGTTGTATCATTTTGTATAATTGCTTATAGTCCGCTGTCGTCATAAGAGAACAATACTTTCACCATACACTATTTGCAGAGCACCGGCGGAGGCCAGAATTCCCGGCCACCCTTGAGGGGCCGGACGGACGCCCGTCGGGGGCCCCTGATGAGGAACGGGAAAGGAAACCATCCAGATCTTCCGCGCCAGGCCGAGAGGTGCCGGGGCCGCCAGCGGAGACGCCATCCTTGACAGGGAATTTTATTGCGCGCTCGTGTGAGGAATCTCGGCCGCGCGAGCCTGCACGGCACGCGCGGATAACGTGATAAGCAGAAGCCAATCAGCGTGACGACCTCCCCCCGAAGTAGGAGGGAGTTGAGTAACCTGCGAGAATCCGCCGGGAGTTCCCGGAATTCACTCTTAATGTGGCCACAGTATATACAGCAGCGCAGCTCTCCTGATTTTATGTTGGCCAAAATGGAGTGCGCATGCGCAAAATAAGTAAGTTGCCCCATCTCATTTTCTCCTTTGTTTAATGCTCTCTCTCTCTCTCTCTCTCTCTCTCTCTCTCTCTCTCTCTATGTTAGCCAAAATGAAGTGCGCATGCGCGAAATAAGTAAGTTGCCTCGTCTCATTTCCTCCTTTTTTTATTGCTCTCTTTCTCTTTCTCTCTCTCTATTTAAATGAGCGTTTCAATGTTCCACTTAGACATTTGTCTTTCAAGCATACATGGTTCAGAATAGAAATTTAGAGGGAAATATTACGTGTATTGTCCATTTGGTGAAATGTTGTGTAAGAAACCTCGAGAGACTGGTCTAATTTTTGTGAAAAGGTGAATAAAAGTAACATAGAAAACCGAGCAAGAAAGATTTATTTTTATTTATTATATTTTGATTTTATTTTTTGGACATATATGTATATAAATTTCTTTTATATCAGCTTTCTCATATTTTCATAGCATATATATGTATATGTATACAACTATATAATATTTCTTCATACAAATATACATTTTTAAGTCATAATTTAATATTTTTCCTAATTTTTCTATATTTTTCAAAATATTTACAATTTATTTTTATTAATTTTCATAAAATTTAAATTATTTCATTACAATAGTAAATTTATTCGCGTCGCATGCTCTAATATGCTCCAAAATGCTCCTACAATTGCTCTTACTCACTTCAACGCATTCGTTGGAATGCGACGCGAATAAATCTAGTGATGTTTTGCAAGGAATTTTGACAGAGCGAAAAAAAGATGAAAAGAGAAAGAAGTTTAAGTGATAACCATGGCAACGCTAGGTAACTTGCTTATTTCACGCATGCGCACTCCATTTTGGCCAACACTAACATCAAAGGTGCTGACAGAGAGTTGCGCTATTGTATATACTGTGCCCGTGCAGGGGGGCCAAACTCACCTCTTGCCGCGTTGAAACATTAGACTGCAATGCCATCTACTAAATCGGCGTAAAACTACTATTATAGCTGATTCAAGCTTTATTGATACTGATTGATATTTATAGTGAACTACTTCATTCGTAAATAAAGCACACACAACATCTGTAAAATATACTTATATTATATTATAATAATAAAATAAGTATTATATATTATGAAGATGTCCATGCTTCATTTACGAATGAAGCAATTACATCGTTTCATCCAATAAAAATGTATTTTAAGCATAAAAAAATATACATTGTTTTTGATTACTTAAAACTTTATTATTTTGCAAGACACAATAATATTATATAGAAAATACATTTGTAATCGACAGAATGTAAAATAAAATTAAACATAGTAACACACAGTAACACATTAATAAAATACAGCATGTAAAACGCAATTAAATAAATACTAATAAATTATAATTTGAATAATGTGTATTTCCATAAATAAATAATATTTCTAACACATTTATATCTTTCAGAAACTAAAGACTACAAAATGCGCATATAATTAATATTAAACTGAAATAAATGTATTGCACATCGCATTATTATGGCACATTATTACGATTTGATACACAATAATGATTATAATGTAGGATTCACACAACACATGACATCCATACAACGTCCGATATTCAATAGGAGATTTTTTCCTAGAGACAAAAATATCATTGTAAGGGCTCCGCAAAATCAAAGAAACAGAATAATTGCGCAGAATGAAAAGAGCAGGGAACAGAGAACAGAGAATAAGAATTTCAACCTAGCAGAAATCATATACTATGGAATATACAGTTTCTGATAAATTGAAATTCTTATTCTCTGTTCTCTGTTCCCTGTTCCTTTTATTTTGCGCAATTCCTAATGCCCGTGTCACACTATGC